CACCTGTCCCACGTAACATTAGAGGCCGGGCTCATGCTCCCAAAAAATGTTGTAGTGATCGTGATAACCTAGAAAAGAGGTGGAAGGCATCATTATAGTGCCGATTGTTCTTGCACACGGAATGCGCACATGTATTGATGCGAACTGGGCCGGCAGTAAGGAACCAACAAAGAATGCGTCAAAAACGCTTGGGTTATGGGCTGACTCATTTCCTAATCGGCTGTGCTAACAATAAGGTAATGAAAATTAAGCGCGTAGGGGTACCCCCAGGAGGCCCGTCGCGCGGCAAGAAGGCAAAGTCAGCGGACGATTCGCGCGCGTACTATAGGGATTTCGCGTCAAGTTAAGTAGAGTGTCCCACTGCACATCCACGCGCTGTAACTCGTCCGCCGTCTCTGCCTTCTTGCCGCGCGACGGGCCTCCTGAGGGGTACCCAGCGCGGAGAGGAGAGTGTGAGGCGAGAGAGTGCAGCAGACGAGAGGGCGCCAGACAGCGGCGTGGTGAAAGATAAAAACTGCAGCTGCAGCAGCTCATTGCGGGGCCCTATGCTCTTGACGTGGTGATTTGTAAACGGCGATGCCACATCTATGATTGTCCTTTTAGCGCCTCTACAGACCGAAGGAAATCGTTTCACACGACTTATGCCGCTTATTGCCTTTAAGTACTTATGTAACTAACCAGTTTAGCTCCGCACGCAACCGCGCGCATCAAATGACGGGCTTCAGTGAAACTGGACAACTTCCAGAATGTTAGGTCACGTAACAGAGAAACTAACAGTAAATGTTTTGGAAGATGTGTCCCATGAAGTTCAAAGGTCGTCCAATTTCTCTGGAGGTTGTCGCGTAACGCGCGCAGTAGCACGCGGAATGGAAATGTTACTTATCATGACTTCGAAAACATTTAGCATTGATGTCGAGCTCGGGCGATTTAGCGGTTTATAGAACTTCCACAATTGAATAATCGGTGTGTAAGTGAAATATAAGCAATCAATCAGCATCTACCGAGCTATGATGGAAATTGGAAATATGATTTTATTCGCTATTAGTCCAGGTCCAGATAGTTGAGCAGCTCAACTTTCTTTGCTTCTTTGGATGAAAGGATAGGAATGGAACATATTCACTTGCTAGGGGCCTGGTTTAGTTTGACTGAGTGCACGCTCAATTTCGCTACTTTTATCAGTACAGTTGCCGCTCATACCACTTTCTGTCACCCACATTCAATCCTCGCCACCTTGTTCCCGTCCCATTCCTTACACCACATGTGAAAGCCAAGGTTTCAATGTCACCGCGAGGGCAGCAACGAAACTGGTGGTATCCATACTTTTACGCCCCTTATCAGTTCTTATCAGTTGCTACCACATTCGTCCACTCAACTTCTTGGTCCCCGCCTCACCCCACATATCATATATGAGTGCAAACTTTCCACCATCAACGCGAACGGTGTAACGCAATTGGTGACATCAACATTTCGGCGTCCGTTATCAGCTTCTATCAGTAGCTTATCACTTCCCGCCACCCACTATCAGTGTTCACGCCCGGCCCCCTACATATCCTAGAAGTTTGAGCGCTCTGGGTCCAAAGGGAGCGAAGTTATGAATTTCCGGTCAGACACACACACACACACACAACCGCTTAGCCGATTATATATAGTAGGATCCCTTCCTTCGACATGTCGTTCGCCTTCGCGGGTCCTACTCTCATTCTTGCTATCGAACTTGAGCCTTGATTGTGTGAACGGCTACTTCAAGGGACACAGGATTTTACACGTTGTTAAGATATACCCTAAAATTTGCCCTACCTACAATACAATATGTAGGACTCTCAGGCGGTCGTTTCTTCCCACGCACGTGCCATCGCGCTTTAGCAGTGCTCCATCATCTCATTTCTTCTCATCAAGTATCTAGCAAATCTGTGTTTCGCTTCATCGGTGCGAAGAGGAGCGTAATTATTTGACCATTGACATAGTTCTGACTCAAAACTTCCATTTTCGCGATAGACTCAATGGTAGGCCCACTAGACGACGTCCAGCATATGTCTGGGCTTACATCGATTGCCGTTCTAGCAATTTCATCAGGGTCCAGCCCTCCTTCACTGGTGAAGTCGTCCCAAAACTTAATTAAGTTCGACCGAAAAGGCATTTTGGCACGTTCTCAGTAGACTTCCAGAATTTCTGGAGTGAACAGATGGATGTTGCACCATTGTCTTGACGATTTAAATAAAGCTTCTACATGGGTTGGGTTTTTGAAGCCACCGATTCCATCACCTGAGCCAACTCCAGGAGTATCTCGACCACTTCCGCGTCAATTGAAACGGCTCAATTAGCGGAGTGGCTAAGACTTTTTCTGTAACATAAAGACGGCTTTTTCGAGACTGCTTTCTCTTTTAATCTAACCATGACGGATACCTTTCTGAGATACTCGAAGCCTCCACTAAAACTGGTGTTTGCAAACCTGAAAAGAAAGGCAGCACTTAGTATTTTTCCATGTTGAACAGTGAATCATTGTTACAGTCGAGGTTCCAATTGAATCAATATTCATTATATTTAGAGTACTTCTAAGTTGCCATAGTTTCGAGCCTCCAATTTTCCCTCTTCCATAGAGAAAAGGGAGCAAGGGAAAAGGATTTAGAAAAGGGAATAGGAATTGAGTGCATCTTCCCAATTGGCGACCAGAAGGTCTTTCTCGTTTTTGGCACGCGAACTACTTTCAAGTAAAAATCATGAATAGGCTTCAAAAACTTCGACTTGAAATGGCTACCTTTACATATTTTTATAGCTCACTTCAATCACCATTTCTAAATGTTTTGGTATCGCAACGGCTTTATGCTTTTTAGTGACCTTTCAGTTTAGATTATCCCTTATCCCCTCTTCCAAAGGCCTCGGTGGCGTTGGCGGACCTACTAAGATGGTATCCGGAGCCGCTTGATGTCTGGTGCGACTTGCAGTGTTGGCGGGCCACTGCTCTTCACCACCGAGTGTCTTGCCTTCAACCATCCCATCACCCCTGAATGACACGCCGCTTTAGGCTCTTGCAATTAATAGTCTTTTGGTTTTTTTTCATTTCTCACATGCATTATCGGAAATTGCTGTGATGTAATGTTTTGTGTTGTGTTGTATTTATAATAATAATAATAATAATAATAATAATAATAATAATAATAATAATAATAATAATAATAATAATAATAATAATAATAATAATAATAATAATAATAATAATAATAATAATAAAACTAATCCTGTGAAAAATGTAGCACAAACAATCCACTATTGTCTCACAAACCGATATTTGAGGCAGAGAAATTGAGAAATCAGCGCATTTAGAAACTAGGGTGGCGCAGGACGTTCGGCGTCATGGTCGCCAGTGTGCTGAGGAAAACAAGAGAAAGTGGAATGTGGTGTCATGGAAAATGAACTTACCCTATGGCGTTAACACTGTATCGACAATTCAGCTTCATCTCATTCGTGACTGCTGGACAGAACGCCCTTCTGAGAGGCCGCCTATCAACATCGTGAAATCGAATTTGAAGAACATGAACTCGAATAGGTATGGCTTTGAGAACTTATGATTTCGCTCCTTCAAAATGCACCTTCTGATTTCCAGGACCTACCACTCTAGTCCGTCACGCCTTGTTATCTAATTTTCCAGCCATGATAGGGCACAAGTGTGGCAACATGACGCCGACTGGAGTGAATCAATTGTGTTTTCTCTTTTTAGGTCATGCTCGCCATTAATGCTGAATTGAGTACTAACTTGTTGCTTTAGTTCTCTCGTCTTTTTCTTCGATCACAGGATAATCGTTCAGTTTCAGTCAGAACACCTTCAATCGGTGCTCATCACGTCCGATGTCTTGTGCAGCACAAATTGATAGATCTCTTCACATACTCCCTAACGAATCGCCAGTATGCGTACTTGACTGCGTTGATGCTTTCAAAGGTAATTTTCATGTGCTCTGCACTATTGACCATTTATGGGTTTATACATATAGCGATAGGATTTCATGGTCATCCCATTAATGAGTTATGTTGTCAGAAATATCCCTTTATTCATGCTTTGCGCCCTACACCTTAGTTCATACTTTCATTCCAAGCAGCATGTGACGTCATAAAATGTCTTCTTCTGTTCACCATTACAGGGAAACTCAAATATCTTTCTGTGCATCTCAAGATGGTGCTATTGTCGGCAGTCTTCGCTCCTAGTTGAATACTGCCTGTTTACTGATCTAATTTCTTGCTCTTGAAAGCATCTCATCGTCCTTAAATTGATCCTAGCTGGCACGCAGAGGCTGTAGGGGACAGCTTGTACAGGCGAATGGGCAAGAGGTGGGGAGCGATAGAAAGGAACTGGAATTTCTGAGAAAAAAGCAACGAGTAAGTATTTATTTATGCTGGACGAGGATTTTGCGACCAAATGGGGGTTCTTGGTTTATGTGGGTTCAAATGTTGACATAGGGAAGCTGTCTATCGCGAATGCATAAAAGTAGAAGCTGGTCTGTTAAGACTTTAATAGATGAAGGACTATTTTATCTGTTGGACGTGACTGAAATTCCAGCTTTCACCGTTTCTGGGCTTGTACAATGAAATTACCCATTTCCACGGTAACACTGGCTCTTTGGCTCTTCGATTGTTGTTCCAATCAAAAAGTAGAAAAGTGGCAGGAAGTCGGGGTAGTTAGCGTGCTGTCCTGTATGCTTTTACTTTGTTGAAAGTCACTGAACTCTTGTTCTTTATTAGAAATCAAACGCGATTTTTACACGCATTTTTCTGATTTACTAGTAAGACATTTCTCTTAAAGATCGTGAAGACAACTTCTTCATTCATTTCAGCTCTAACGAAAAAGGAGAAAGAATATGCTCACTACCTGAGTAGAGCATCATATGACGGAGGGTTAGCAGTTTTCCTCCAGGTATTGTTTATACTACCGCCTTATGTTTATCTCTCCAATTGCGAATATTTTACAGGTGTCGCCTGAATCAGCTGGGCTCTTTGTGACTTTCTATCGTATGTTCAAAGCGGAAAGCATAGATAAACTTAAAGGTATGTCGCTGTTTTCATAGTTACATTGCTGAAGTTCACTTAAACGTTATTCTTAGAAAAGGCTCTGAAATGTGGCTTCACCGAGGAAGAGTGGGATGGCTTTTTGGTGTATGTCGCTGGTTTCTACTTCAATAATGGAAATTATCGTGGTTTCGGAGATACCAAGATTGTACCAGGCGTTGATGTGGTAAGGCGTAAAGTTTCAGCCCTCCTTTTCGAGCATAATTTATTTGTGTTGACTTGCTAAAAATTTGGTATATAGGCTAAAATCGATGCACTTGTTCGATCATCAGAAGCCAAAAAGACGTCGCCATCTTTCATAAGTACTTGGGAGAAAGTAAAGCCTCTGATTACTTCGCTGGACGAAACCCAAATCCATTTGGGTTTTGGAAATGAGGTATGTGCCATGCGTTGGAAAAATTCTCCGTCGATCTTATGGATTCGAGTCGTCGTGTAATGAAAATAAAAGTAATCTACCAATCATTATAACTTTCTCATTCCTTTGCTTCAAAGTTCAGGGAGTAACTTGCTACCACAGTGAAAACGTGACCAAGGAAGATGCTGCGAAGCTGGATAGGTATTTCAAGGTATGTAGCAGACCTCGTTTATCAACACGAACCAGTAATTGTTGCTGAATGATCCTTTCTATGAAAGAAATTATGCAACTATAGGCACATAACGTTGAATCTTGGAACTCGAGACTCTTCAAGGATCCCAAACCAAAAAACGGGAAGACCGTTTATCGAATAAAATTAGCAAGTTCGAAGACAGGTACTAATAGTTCGTTGAGTTTTCGTTACTTTCAATATATTTCAAGCATGTAAGGTTTGCACTTATCTGCGAAGTGACTGTATATTATCTTTTTCATAGACGGAGCGACAGAGGAAGAGTTCGAAGATTTCGTTGTGGTGACAGAACGAGGCGATTATTCACCGCTGATGGCTAGAACTTGCGATTCCTTGAAAAAAGTATGTGGAAGTTTTGGTGCAAGTCTTGCATCGTAGTGATTCCTCCTGACTTATTGAGACCATCTCATGGAAATTCGCAAAATGGGGTCCATTTGAAGAAGTATTGAATTCGCCATAATTCAGGCCATAGCCTCAGCCGCTAACGATAACCAAAAGAAGATGATCTCCAAATATATCGAACACTTCACGGAAGGCGATATCAAGCATCATAAGGTAGCCAATTTTTCATTTCCACTCTACGTGTTGTCTTTTTCCTCTAACAGAATAGTACGATCCCCACTTCTTCAAAGTTATTACGTGATATTACGATTATCTCATTTAGGATGGCTCTAGATTTTGGATTAAAGACGTAGAACCGGTGATCGAGAGCTACATTGGTTTCATTGAGAACTACAGAGATCCAGCAGGAACTCGAAGCGAATTCGAAGGTAGAAAATTACTTTTCTTGATGTGGAACCATTTTTATTGGCTTCTACCCGAATGCTATGGATTATTAAGGAGTTTTATCGGCTTTAAATCGTTTCCGGTATCAACTAAGCCGCTTCAGCATTCAATTTTCAGGGTTCGTGGCATGTGTGAATAAAGAAACATCAAAGAAGTTCAAGACACTTGTGCAGAAAGCAGAAGCAATTTTGGAAAGACTTCCTTGGGGGAAAGCATACGAAAAGGATCACTTCCTGAAGGTGAACTTTCTTGAAATCCAAATAATTGAATAAATGAATCCAAATAAAGTCCTTCCTTACGTTATTCCTCATTTCAGCCTGATTTTACCGCTCTGGACGTGTTAGCGTTTGCCTCGAGTGGAATTCCATCAGGGATTAACATTCCCAATTGTGCGTAGTTCTTCTCCACATTGTGAAGGTTTTCATAGATAGCCTGCACATGATGTTCTTCAGATGATGATATTCGGC